GGGCTCCTCCCTGGCTCCAAGGGGTTAGTTTAGTGCTATTTATACCCCCAAAGCCGCAGCCTTCCTGCAACCACACCGAAGCGCTCTCTGTTCCTAACTCCTGCCCCATCCTGGCCCCCGAACTGGGGGGATCCTGCATCCCTCAGCGGCTTTAGGAGGGCACAGGAGAAAGCCACAGCCTTCCTGCAACCACACCGAAGCGCTCTCTGTTCCTAACTCCTGCCCCATCCTGGCCCCCGAACTGGGGGGATCCTGCATCCCTCAGCGGCTTTAGGAGGGCACAGGAGGACATGGAGCAGGCTCTGAGCGCCACCAGCACCCAGCTCTGCCCAGAGGGTGAAACCCCCTTTTATAAGCTTCTGCTCTTTCCCCAGGGTGACAAAGGCTCGCCCGGAGCACCTGGGCCCTCGGTGAGTATACGTGCCTCCTTCCAGGCCCTTGGATTGTCTCACCGCTTTGGGAAGAGCTGCCTTTTAACTTGTCCACATGCTTCTTTTAAAGGGTGCCAAGGGGGAGCCCGGAGCGCCTGGTCCGGACGGGCCCCCGGGGAAGCCAGGCATCGACGTGAGTACAGCCCCTCGCCTGCCCGGCGCGGTTTCTCCCGCTGCGGCTCTGATCGCAGCAGGATCTCAGCAAACTCCGCTGCTCTCCCGGCTCGGGCAGCAGGAGGTCGGCTGGGGTCGAGCTGCTGCATCTGAGCCCGTTACTCCCCGGGGTCCTGGGCGTTATTAGCTCTGCCCTGAGCCGGAAGCAAACATGACCCCGCGGAGACCTGAGATGTCTCTTCTCAAGCAAAGCGTGGAGGAGCTTGGTGCAATCCTGCTGGGACTCCCAAGCCCAGACCTGCGCGTGCTAAAGCCCTTGGATCCTTTTCTGCTGTGCATAAGAGCGCGCCAAAATCCCTTCACGTGAGAACGCAAAGCGCCTTTACATCCACAGCAAGAAACCCAGGCAGAGCTCAGCGCCTCCTTGGAGCTCGTGGGCTGCCGTTGCCACCCTGCCGCCCGCCACCCCCCGCTCCCCACAGAGGGGGTCCCCCC